ATAGAGGCTTAATATCCAGAATATATAAGGAACTCAAAAAACAAAGAATCAAGACAGGAAGTAACCCATTTAAAAGATGGGCTAAGGAGCTGAACAGAGAGTTCTCAAAAGAAGAAATAAAGATGGCTAAGAAGCATCTTAAAAGGTGTTCAACATCACTAGTAATTAGGGATATGCAAATTAAAATAACTTTAAGATTTCATCTTACGCCAGTCAGACTGGCTAAGATCAAGAGAATAAATGATACCAAATGCTGGAGAGGATGTGGGGAAAGGGGAATGCTCATCCACTGCTGGTGGGGCTGCAAACTTGTTCAACCCCTATGGAAAGCAGTGTGGAGAACTCTTAAAAAACTACAAATGAACCTACCATTTGACCCAGTTATACCACTCCTTGGCATATACCCAAAGAACTCATCCTATTGCAGAGACACTTGTACATCCATGTTTGTTGCTGCTCTTTTCACAATAGCTAAGGGATGGAAGCAACCCAAGTGTCCCCCAATTGACAAGTGGATAATGAAAATGTGGTTTATTTATACGATGGAGTTTTGCTCAGCAGTAAAAAAAGATGAAATTTGCAGGTAAATGGATGGAACTAGAAACTGGTATACTAAGTAACATGGACTCAGAAGAACAAAAACAAACAAACAAAAAAAACCACGTATGTTCCCCTTCTCCTAACACCAAATCCTGAGAAGTGATTATGTATCCAGACATATTATAGGAACCAGGATATTGAAAAGGAATCAGGGAGATAAAGGAAAAGAAAGAATCTGAAATAGAAGAACAGTAGGAAACAGGTGTTAATAGGGAGATATATATAAAAATGGGGTTATTTTAAGGGGGGGAGGTTATACAAGGAACATAGGGGATAAAGGGAAAGAAAGAGCTCAAGAGAGGTAGGACCATAGGAGAAGGGTATTATTAATGGAGAAATGGGAAAAATGGGGGCACCTTAAATGGGGAAACGATGGTGGAAGGGTTAGACAATGCAAGAGATAAATAATGCTTAGATAGTTTCAAAAAATGAGAGGGAACTGTATTAGTCCAGCAATCTACTGACAAATTATACATACAACTAGAGCAAGGAATATAATATTCTTTCATTTATTTATTTTTTTGGGGGGGGGCTTTGGGTACTCTAACATTTCCCCCTCTGAAGAGGTAACACTATAATCTTTTAAGGATTAGATACAAGTTCCCAAATAATTTAGAAACTTTTTGGAATTTGGAGCAGAGTAAGTTGCTAACAGTCCCAAGGACATTTTGACTTTTAGCCAAGAAACTGGCTACTTTTCTTTGGGGTCTTTTTACCCTAACTGCCTAGCCAATTCCTACCTCCTGTTCTTACCACACCATCCTCTGAAGGGGTTACCCAAATTGCCAATGGGGAATCAGGACACAGACCGCTCTGGCTTCTTCCATACTGAACAGGGACACAGGGTGAGGCAATTGGGGTACCCCATGTGACCCCTGAGGACAGATCCTCGAATGACCTTAAGAGTAAAAATAAATTGGTTTATCTGGGCCAAAATTGTAGGATCTTAAAACACTCAAAAGGAAAGTATAACCAAAGATTAATGGAGTCAATATAATTTTTAAGAGTCCATATGTATAGCTAAAGGCTACATAACAAGAAACAATGCCAGACAGGAGATACCTTCGAGTTATTGGCCAGGGTGGCCCAAAAGACTCCCAGACAGTAACCCAGCATAGAACTGGGAATATGAACAGCAGACCCCAATCTTATCTAAAAGAATGACAGCTGGTTGCTGCTAGATGAGGAACAGCTGATCTTCCTAAAACAATGATCTCTAAATAGGATGAATAGATTCAGGAGATGGACAAGCACTGGGGAATGGCTGGGGGAGTCGACAACACAGTGGACAGTAACAGGGATGACAGAGTATATGGGCTCTAGTGGGGGGTGGGGGGAAGCTATGGGAAGGTGTAATTTGGGAAGTGGGTATACAGATGAATAAGATTGTTTAGGATGTTCTGTATGATATACACAAAAAAAATCCACAAATTAAAAAATAAAAGACATATTTGAGGAGGAAGAATACACATTTACTTCACGTTCATTAGTAGAGGTGATAAACATTACCATTGAAATCCACCTAATGACTTTATATCCATACTCAGGTTCCAAGGATCTGAGAGTAACCTACTGTGACTAGTAATAATCAGATACATAGAAATTAAAGACACATGTGCAAACATCTAAGTGTTAGTAGCATTAAAATGCAAGAAACAGCATATTTTTATATGAAATGGAGATCTTCTTTAAAGGTTAAAAACTCATTCAATTTTATGTCTTACAGGGTTTATACTGAATTCAGTATTGTGTAACTGTATTAACTCAACTGTGAACCTAAAACTTTACAGCCACTTTTGAAAGAGATGTATCCTTGCTCTGGAAATTGTTACTGAATATGTTAAAGCTGTAATGAAATGCTTCATGTGGTTATTAAATAAAAAAAAATTAGAAAGTATTCACCACCACACCTGGCTCTAAACTACCAAAGGAGTTTGGCTTGTTTGGTTTTTCTGAGACAGGGTGTCATGTCTGTCTGTCTCTCTTTAAACTGACTTTTTTCCCTTCTTAAAACAGGAATACCAAAGGATTTTTCCAGTCACCTTGGTTTGGATTAAGGAATGGTTTGTTTGAAAGGGTATCCTGCATTATTTTTGTGTTCCACTGTGGCAGCCGAAACCACCTGATATTTTAGAACCATACAAGAAAAATGGAATTTGGGCTGGAAAGATGCCTCAGTGGTTAAGAGCACTGGCTGCTCTTGCAGAGGACCCGGGTTCAATTCTCAGCACTCACATGGTGGCCAGCAGCTATCCAGAATTACAGTTCCAGGGGAATCTGATGCCGTCTTCTGACCTCTGCAGGCATTGCATAACATGGTGCACTTATATAAGTGCAGGCAATACATTCACACACATAAAGTAAAAATAAACAGCTGTTAACTTGAATTGGTGAGATGCTATCTATTCATCTGACATTCAAAACCACAATTATCAATATAATGCTGGCTGTCCTGGAACTCACTACATAGACCAAAGTGGCCTGGAACTCACAGTGATGCCTCTGCCTCTGCCTCCCCAGTGCTGGAATCAAAGGTGTTAGTCACTACTGGCAGCCTTAAGTACATCTTTTCTTTTTCAGTCTTTTAGAGACAGGGTCTACCAGTAGCCCCAGCTGTCCTGGCACTATGTAGACCAGGCTGGCCTCAAACTCAAAGATCCGGCTACCTTAAAGGGGTGCACCACCACGCCCGGCATCTTTTTCAAAACTCATTTGAAAACAATTATTCTCAAAATGAGGCATCAAGAACACATTCTCTCCACCCATCCTAGATTAGTTTTCGGCACACAGTGTCCTGATATAAAGTTCTATTTGAGGGCTGGAGAGACGGTTCAGTGGTTAAGAGCACTGGCTACTCTTGTAAAGGACCTGGGCTCGGCTCCAAGCACCCACACAGCAGCTAATAACCATCTGTAACTCCAGTTCCAGAGGATCCAACACCCTTTTCTGGCCTCTATGGGCACTGCATCCACAAGTGTACTTAAATGCATACAGGCAAAACACTATACACATAAAATAAAAATAAAAAATGTTGGGGAAGTTCCATTACTTCCTTCTATATTTTTACTTCTTTGGGGAAGCGTTCCTAAACATCATTAAAAGTGAAACTTGGACAATATCCAAAAGTACACAAGCACAATACAAATATTCAAGAATACACAATACTGTCCTGCAGTATCTCCAGATAGTTTGTGATGTGACAGAAGCTACGAGGTCCTGGCTCCTCAACACTCCCACCAGCCTATACACATGTTCATGTTCACAGTTTTTTCTTTTTTCCTAATAGCTTCCGCTTTTTCTTTTGCCTTTTAATACCTAAAGTAACTGAGATTGTTTTTTAAATATATAGTCCTATATAGGAAACAATGGCACATATGACCTCTAAGCCACAGCTTGAGTTACATCCTAACTGATCCAATAGCACTCTTGATCCAGAAACAACAGATAATACACATAAACAGAATAAACTGTGTCACTTTTTAATATAGAAAGTTTATGGTGGCAAGGAAACTTTTTTTTTTTAATGTGCATTATACCTAAATGCACCCATGTCATGTGATTCCTGTGGAGGTCAGAAGAGGGTATCAGATCCCCACTATGTGGGTTCTGGGAATCAAACCTGGGTCCTCTGCAAGAACAACCAGTGCTCTTAACTGCTGAGCCATCTCTCCAGTCCCAAGAAAAGGTATTTCTGCTAGGTGAGGAAAAACTGATCTTCCTAAAACAAGGGACTCTAGATAGGTTGACTAGACCTCAGTGGATGGACTTGCACTGGGGGAACGGTTGGGGACACTGACCTGACCCAGTGGGCCTTAAAACGGATGATAGAGTATATGGGTTCTAGTGTGGGGGGCTATGGGAGGGTGCCAGTGGGACTGGGGTATAAAGATGACTAAGATTGAGATATTCTGTATAAAATACACAAAAATTCAATAAAAACAAAGTTACCAAAAAAAAAAAAAAAACTACCACCACTGAAATCTCTCTCTGATACACTTTATCTATTTTTAAAATCCTAATTTTAAAAATGAGAACTATGCTAAATGACTAAGATTAAACAATTAAACATAGAGAGTTTGGATAGAATGGTCTTCCATAACTAATGCTCACGGTATAGGCAAATGAATGTATACTCATAGTCAGTGGAATAAAGAATAACTCTCTATGCTTCATTTTTAAAACTCCCCCCTTTTTTCAGAATTGCGCCAATTTAATCTTAATACTGAGTGTAACAGGCTCCATATTGCAAGCTAGTGGAACAACTGCCAGCTGGTGCTGCAGTCTCACATGCTTTGCTATTAAGCTCTATCTCTCTCCTGCTATTTCATTTCATGCAGTGCCAACCAAACTATACTTTTCCCCTAAGAAAAAATAAAGAAAACCAAGTGCCAGGCATATAGTCACAAGAACTCAGTTTCTTAAAACATAAGTATGAGTATATTTATTTCTCTCAAATGCATACAAGACAATAATTACACAGCAACAAATCTTTTGTTCAACAATGACTTGATTCATAAGCATTTAAAATTTACATAATTTCACATTGATACCCTTTTATTTTTAAATACAATAAGTAAAAAAGCCCCCACAACCAATTTTTATATTTCCTATTTATCCTTCTATACATCCAAACTTTAAAAAGTTACAAACTGAACATTGTACAGAACATATAAATGTTTAAAAACTTGAGGTTTTAAAATCACTGCTTCCCCAGTATGATTCAGAAAACTCTCCTACTGACAAGTACAGTCATAGGTGCAAGTAAATTGAGGAGGGAGAGAAACAGAGTTTGCTGTCGTGCTATTTTACTAATCCTGTCAGTTATAAATGGTGACGTGGTGTGACACAACGGCTGGGGTTTACTATGAGGAATGGAGTATGCCTCGGTCTGAGACGTGCGTTTCAAGTATTTTCCTATTTGTTCTGAGCTCACTATAGCAAACTGAGGCCAGAACTAATTACTTTCTTCCATACATTCGCTCAATGTCCGCCTGGTAATGCGTTTTAAGCTCTTTGCGTTTCAACTTGAAGGCATCCGTCACCAGACCAGTTTCAGGGGTCCATGGTTCAGGGCTCAAACGGATTTTTACAGGAATTTCAAACTTTTCCAGACTTGCTGAGATGAAGAAAACAAAAGAAAACAGACCAAATAAAAAAAACAATAAAAACCCACACACATTACAAACACAGCTACAGTACCTCCCCAGGGGCAGGTTGACCAAAATGCAAATCAATCTCACTTCAAGTAATACACTCTTCAAAACTATGAGCACATGAGAACTGTAATAGCAAAAACCATTTAAAAAATATTTAGCCATAGGAGAATTAAATTATGACACAGATATAAAATAGAAGACAGTTCTGTCATTAAAATGAGTTGCACTTATACAGGCATCCAATACATTAATAAGTTAAGAAAAGGTCAACTTAGAGCACCAGCTAAATACACGTAGAGCATCTAGATCTATGGGACAAAGATACAAGTCACACTACAAATCATGTACCTCTAAGGGGCTGGGATCCAAGAGAAAGGAAGAGAGAAATTTTACTTTAAAGAGAATAAGGAGAATGAAATTATGACATTTGCAGGAAAACGGGTGGAACTGGAGATCATTATGTCAAACAAAATAAGCCAGACTCAGAAAAGCATTGCATTTTTCATATAAATTTGTGCACTGTGTGTCTGTGCACGTGTGCAGGACATGATAGAAAGGGGACTCAGAGGAGAGGAGGAAAGAACATGCATTAAAACAGGAAGAGGAATGATGTGGGAGGAGGAAGGAGGCGGGCCAGGGGTGGGGCTAAGAACCAACGAAGCAGAATCATGTACATGGAAACTGTCACAATGAAGGATTAATCTGAAAACTGAAAGGCTGGATTCAAAGTAGAACTACCACATGCTCCAGCTAAACTACTCCTCAGTACACACCCAGAGGGTTCGAGGTCAGCACACCAAAGAGGTACTTACACCTCCATGTTTATAGTTACACTACTACCAACAATCAAGATAAGGAACCTGCCAGGTCTGGTGATTACAGGCGGGAGTATACTGACCAAGTCTACATAGCAAGTCCCAGGCCCAGCTGAAACTACAGGAACACCCCGTCTCACAAAAAAAAAAAAAAAGGAAGCAAACAAAAAACACAAAGAATCTGAAAAAACATTCTCCAAAGAAGACATACAAGGGCCAACAAATACAGTAATCACCAGAAAAAAATGCCAATCAACCCACAACACTAAGGGTGCTAAGAATCAAAGCTCAATCACAAGTGTTGGCAGGAAGTAGAGAGGTTATAATCCTCACATACCAGGAAAATACTGAAAAACAACTTCAAAAAAAAAAAAGTCTAATTATTCCTATTTAAAAGAGTTTACTGCCAGGCATGGGGGTACACGCCTTATAGCCCAATACTCAGAAGGCAGAGGCAGGCAGATCTCTATGAGTTCAACTCCAGCCTACTCTACACAGTGAGTTCCAGGCCACCTGGGCTACTGGGAAACCCTGCCTCAAAAAACCAACCAAACAAACAAACAAAATAAATAGGTTTATATAAAGTTACCTAGAGACCCATCTCTTCTACTCATAGGTATGTATCACAGAGGCAAAAAAAGTGTCCACACCAAGGCCTGAACATTTACCCCAGCTTCACTCCAACAGCCCAAAGTGGAGGAAAAAATGCCCATCACTGATCCACACTCACAAGGCAGCACGTGCCCACTTAATGCAGTACTACTTGACAGTAAAAAGGAGTTAAGAAGAGAGTCCTGATGCAGCATGGATGACTTTGAAAACAGGCTAAGAAATCATCTAAAAATCACCTATTGTCATTCCACATAAACTCTCAACTGGCAAATCTGCGAGGACAGACTCAATCAGTGGTTCTGCGGGACAGGGAACTTGGAGGCTAAGGGAAAGTGACCGCTTAATGTGTAAGTAAGATGTTTCTTTGAGGGGGCTGAAAATGATGTAAAATTAACTGTGGTGACAGTTGTGCAACTTGGTGAATACACTAAAAACCATACATATATTAAATAGGTGAGTTACATGGTATGTTCATTACATTGTAATAAAACAATCACATTTTTTTTTTCATTTTTTTTTTTCTCTCATTGCAGCTGGTTTGTTTGTTAGTTTGTTTGTTTGAAGCAGGGTCTCCCTGTAGCCCCAGCTGTCCTGGAACTCACTATGTAGACCAGGCTGGCCTTGAACTCACAGAGATCCGCCTGCCTCTGCCTCCCAAGTGCTGGGACTACAGGCATGCGCCACCACGCCCGGCAACAATCACATTTTAAAATAAGCAAACAGTATATAGTTGGGGTTTTTTTTCATTTATTTTGTTTTTTATTCATCTGAATGTGAGGGTTCAGCATTCCAGTGCAGTTGCCTGCAAAGGCCACAAGAGGGTGTCAGAGCCCCTAGAGATAGAGTCATAGGTGGCTGTGAGCTGCCCAACATGGGGGTACTTGGAACTAAACTCCATCCTCTGAAAAAGCAACAAGCTCTCTTAACTACTGAGCCACCTCTCCAGTCTCAGCATATGTAGTTCTTAATGTTTCAATATTCTAGCTTACTTACAGGATTGTAGTTAATACCTATTAATTGATGAAATCAATTAGCAGCAATCTACAATTTTGTTACCTAATAATTTCACAAATTATCTTCAAGCTGAAATAAAGGGCTGGAATAACTTAAAATGTTCAAAGTACATTATGTACATGTATAAAAATGTAAGGAAACCCACTACTATATGCAATTAATATATGCTAATAAAAAACTTAAAAATAGGGGCTGGAAAGATGACTCGGTGGTTAGGAGCACTTGCTGCTCTTGCAGAGGATCCGGGTTCAATTACCAGAATCCACCTGGCAGCTAACAACCACCTGTAAGTCCAGTTCCAGAGGATCCAATGCCCTCTTCTGACCTCTGTAAGCACTGCACACACAGGTGCACTTACATACATGCAGGCAATACATTCATACATATAAAAGTAATAATTTTATTTTAAAAAAACTTAAAAGTAAAACAGAGGATACAGAACATGCCAGTACAACTATCAGTGCAATAACAATGTATATAATTCCAAAGGGAGTCTGACCTTTCACGGTGGTCTATTGTGCCCAAGAAACTAAACAGAGCTTTTAAGAAAAGCAGCAGAGAACAGAGAAAGAGCCAAGGCAGAAAACAAAGGCTAAAAAGATGAGAGTAGTCAAGAGACTAAACAAATAGTAATTTGGTGTTTCCTGGTTGCAATGGTTAATACTACAAACTTAATGAGATCTAGAAGTCATCTGGGAAATGGGGTTCTGGGCATACCTGTGAGGGATTACCCTGATTAGAGTTAGGAGACGTAGGAAGATCTGCTCACTTTGAGCGGAACCATTCCCTGGGCTTGGGTCCTAGACTAGAAAAAGGAGAAAGCTAGTTGACAGCCGTCATCTCTGTGCTTCCTGACTGTTCAACTTCCTGACACAGTCACTTCTCTGCCATGATAGACTGTAAGCCAAAATAAACTTTCTCCCTTGAGTTGCTTTGGTCAGAATTTTTTTTTTTTTTTCTTGTCTTTTTGAGACAGGGTCTACCTGTAGCCCCAGCTGTCCTGGAACTCATTATGTAGACCAGGCTGACCTCGAACTCACAGAGATCCACCTGCCTCTGCCTTCCAAGTGCTGGGACTAAAGGCATGCACCACCATGCCCAGCTGGTCAGAATATCTTTGTTGCTGCAGGGCCAGGCATGGTGGAGTCAAAGGCAGGTGGATCTCTCTGAGTTCAAGGCCAGCCTGATCTACACAGTGAGTTCCAGGCCAGCTGGGCTACAGGGAGATCCCACCTCAAAAAAAACAAAAAAAGAAAAAAATTTTATCACAGCAATAGTAACCAAGACACTGATAAATTCCAAATATTACAACTATAATTCTTAAACTTTATCTTGAAACATGAGCATGTCCTACAGAGAGGCCTAAATGGGGAGCCTGACAAGCACGTCCTTCAGCCGCTAATGGTGGAAACAGCTCCCAGGCAGAAGTGATGCACCTTAACCCTTACAATGTGGCAGGTTAACACAATTACATATGCTACATATTCTTCCCGTCTCAGCTCTGAGAATCAGCTTAACAAAACACTCACCTGAAATAGCAGCTTCAGAAAGCACTTTAAGGACCTCATTTTCCATCTCACTACTGTTACAAAGCTCTTCCCATGTTCCTTCAAGTCCTTTTGTTCGAGCTAGCTCTGTAAGTTCCTTCTGATTTGGCACAACAAATCCAATGACATAAGAATGATAACTGAAATACACAAAGGATGACTCAGCTAAGGATGGAAACAGTGCACCATGTTAACTTCCATCACTGGTACCTTGACACTCTGAACTAAGTCTTTAGTATTAAAAAAAAAACAACAACATAAAAACCCCATCACTGTATATGCCCCGTGTAGCGCCTCTTACTGCTTGATGCATAAATTAAAGGGCTGTGACAAAGCTGAATGCTAAATAAACCTCAATTAGACACTTCCTGATTAATGCCAAGTATGCATCACTATTATAAACAATACCATGTACACATTTTAAAGAAAAACTACAAATATTTTTTAAAATTCATCTTTCAAATGTTCAGTAATTCACAAAACAATTTAAGCAGAAAAGAAATCTACTAGAAATCCTGTCTACAGAAGCCCATGGTGATGCTCATAGTACTATCTAGAGAACAGTCATCTCCTGCACTCGCTGGTACAGAAAAGGAAACTGTCACCTTTCCCAAGAATGCAGTTCTGGGGTTTGAACTCTTAAGCCCCTTCCCAGATGCCTGTATCATCATGGGCTGTGCTGACAGGGCCAGCATTAAGCATGCTCAAGCTGAAGGCCAATAGGACAGGAGAGGGGACTGTTCAGTCACTTTTTTATTGCCCTTGCCTCTAAGTGGACCCGTGAAGCTCCCCTGAAGAGAAACAGGTAGCTAGGGGGACTGGGGCAGCAGAAGGAAGAATGTATTCCTGCCATTCTCTACCACACAGAACACTAAAGAGAGACACAAAGCAAGAAACAGGACACACGGGGAAAGAATCACCTCGTGAACACAACGAGAATGAGGCCTTCCAATGAGTCAGAGAAGGAGGAGCTGTTCTTAAAAGGGGTTTCACACAGCAGCCCATATGGGCAGAAACACTTAGGGCACCCCAGTAATGTCAGCAGAATCAGCTAGGGCTCCTCTTCCTTACCTGTTTGCATATGCACAAATGTTATCTATCAACGAGAGATTCTTCAAAGCTGCCTCTACTTTCCCAAGAGAAACATACTCTCCCGCCTGTAGTTTTACAAGGTCCTTCTTACGATCTACATAAAGACAAAAACATTAAGAATATTAGTAACAACTTAAACACATATAAATACTAGGTCACTCCCTAAATAATTTGTCATCAGGCTACTCAAAACTTTGCTCAATTAAGTATCAATGGCTACTCCAAAGTTGAGAGTACATAAGTTCCTTTAGAAGAAAAACCATTCAGTTCAGGGGTGCTGTCACCAGGGTTTCAGTGGGTTCTTCTGGGCTAGTGTGCTCCTGGTTCCCACTGGTTCCAGGTGGAGAAGCTTTGAAAAGCCATGAGCAAACTCACTGTATCTGGAGAGAAGCTTAACACAAAAACACAACATTCCACACAACACAGCCCGTCTGTGGCTTTGGAAAGAATGAGTGCATGTGTGGCCTAAGATGAGCTTTATTAAAGGAGGAATCAGAGGTATCCAGGCAGAGCACCACTGGCAAGGGCTGGAATGCACCAGTGCAATTACAGCAGCAAAAAAGAAGGCAGCAACTGAAGGAGGAGGCAGGGGTGAAGATGCTCATGAAACAGGCACCCCGAACTGAGCTTCTCACCATTATGGGCTTTCAACAAAACAAGGCTCCCTAACCACAAGGTGGCAGTGATGGGGTAGGTCTGGGTTTGGCCAGAAGCAGAGCAGCAGGGTGACAAAGGCCTGGAGAGAGGGACAGAGAAAGGAAAGATTTTGAGGTATGCCTCTTAATGGGACATGGAACAGGGATGTGGAGCTGCTGGAAGGGAAGCCTCTCATCTCTTTCTAGCCTTCTAGTTACCATGACCAAGTGTTGTGTAGCAATTTTCTCTAAGGAAAGCTCTCCATCCTACAGACTCAGGATGGTCTACTAAGGGGAAGCTCACTCAGAAACTCAATAAGCTTCAGGAAGTCCCTGAAACTGACAGATACACTAGACCCTCCCTCCCCAACTATAAGCAGCAAGGACTACAGATACATTCTCACACAAGCCAAACTGCCTACAAGGGGCTCAAGACCAACTGAGCTGCCAGGAAGAGACATTGTTGCACCTGTGGAGCTGCAGGTTTCCTGCTTTGGTCACCCAAGCTGGGGTGGGCCTTGGTGATGCAGCTCCCTGAGTCACTTCTTTTCTTATAAGTAACCCCTCACCTATACTCCTGAAAGCAGCTTCAACAAAGGTCATTAGTTCACCAAAGATGGCCTTTGGTGGTATCCTGACTCTGCTCTGTCACTGGTTCCTTTTCTGGGGTGAGGAGGCATTTATTCATATCTCCCCAAGAATAGCATCACACACCACCAATGAGGGACAGATGCCATTAACAGAAAAACAAATCCTGAGAGGAAAAGCAGGGAAAGTATTTTTGTCCCACATGGGCCACAGTACTTGACTTACCAGGCTTTCGTTTGTTTCCTGGGGCAAAGTCAGGCCTAAATTCAGACATGAGAGTCCTGCCCAATAATCTGTATCAGAGAACCCACAAAACGAGCATTCCCAAAAAGGAAAGAATGACTGAGGTTAGCTACTAGGTTAACTCCCTGAACTCAGCAGCTTCTGAGACCAGATTCCTAACAGGCCAAGCTTTATGAACACCTCTGTCCCTCTTCAAAATGCTACATTCCAAGGATGACACAAGAGTGCTTATCAACATTACAGAAAGATAAGTGCTTTCATTATGAAACAGTCTCTGTAAACATACAGTAGCTCCTCATAAAGTCATTTGGGAAGCATTCGCTATCAAGAAAGATTCAGTAACTCACCAATAATCTTCAGACAACCGTCAGGGTCAAACTCTCCAATGTCTCCAGTGCAGAGCCACCGCTGCCCATTTTCATCCTCAAAGAAATCGGCTTTTGTCTTTGCTTCATTTTTGTAGTAGCCCATTGTCACATTTTGGCCACCAATAAGAATTTCACCTCTGGGATGTGGCTTATCAGTATTAAAATACCCACCTAATAAACAGAATAATTTATAGACTTACTTCACTATCTTTAATCCCTATAGGTATTGCATGAAAATTCAAAACTCCAGTTTCTAAAAATAGGTATCTTATTTTAAGCCAATTAAAGTCCCCAAAGAAAACAAAGTAGGCACTACAGTTGAACAAAATTGAAAAAATAATTATCAATATAAACTAGGGGCAAATCTCAGTTGTTTAATACACATCTGTGCTTAAGCTATTATTTTCAAGAAGAAATTACATTCTAAAGTCCAACATCTGCCATCTATTATATAAAATAGTTACAAATAAAGTTCCTATTCAGTCTATCATACTAATAAAATGATTTTTTAAAAAGTACTCTCATGTATTAAATAGAATAAATCTCTTTATAAAATCAAATTTTATATTTAGAAATTTTTTCTTGTATATAATTTCAGACAGGCTCCAGTCTTAAACTTATTGAATATTTTCACTAACATTTGCTAAAATAACTGAGAAATTACATTATAAAGGAAAGGTACATCCCAATAAATCACGGATAATCTGTATGCTTTAATATGACACATAATTTTTAAAGTGATTTGTATTTCAAATGGAATAAAGAAACTTTAAAGTGGAAATTCCTTCTGATAACTTTAGGTTGAAGCCCTCAGGGAAAAGAAAGAAAAATACATATAAAAGTCCTCATGGAATATATACTGCAATTTTTCTTCTACAAAAGCGACGATCATGCCTTATTTTTTTTATTATATTCATTTTGTGTGTGTGCATTTGTGTGTGTGCATTTGTGTGTGTGTGCACCATGCTACTATTAAGTGTGGAGCTCACAGGACAACTTGGAGAATCAGTTCTCTCCTTCCACCAGGTGTGTGTTCCAAATGCAGGTTTCCAGGTTTAGAGGCGAGTACCCTTTGCCTGTTCGACCATCTTGCTGACCTAACTTAATGACACTATTCATTTAGCACACTTCTCAAATTTCTACCATGTTTACTTAAATGCATGCAATAATAAGTAAGAAAGTGGGGAAAAAGCTCAGTCAGTAAATTGCTCTCTGTGAGCCTGATGACATGAGCTCGAGCCTCCAAGCCCGGGCACAGGGTAGATTTGTAATCTCAACACTGGGGAAGTGACAATGGGCAGATCCCTGCAGCTTCCTAGCCAGGCAGCCTAGCCTAATCCACGAGCTTCAGTCTCAAAGAACAAAATAGAATGCTTCAGAGGAACATCTGAGGTTGACATCTGAGGCTAACATGTGACCTCCACATACAGAAACTTATCAAATAAATAATAAGAAGCAAAATAAAAATTCTTCAGAATCATTTTTGAAGCAAGCAAAATGAATGCATCTGTATAGTTCTAGATAAAATACAGGTATCACAAAAACAAAAGCAAGCACTCATAATTTTATATTCTAAAATATGCTAAGAAAGGAAATCAAGCACATTCCTAATTTAATTTTATAAAAATTAATATTCTATGATTAGAATCATATTACCTTCCTCCCAGTTCTTCAATTTGATTTCACAGCAAACTAACGGTGCTCCCACTCTGCCAGTGTTATAGTCCCACACTAATATAAAGGGGGGAAAATGGATTTGAAAACAGTAGTTAAAAATTGCTTTATTTTTCTAAATTATTAGTAATGATTGGCCAGGCATGGTGGTACACACCTTTAATCCCAGCACTCTGGGATAGAGGCAGGGGGATCTATGTGAGTTTGAGGCTAGCCTAGTCTACAGGGAGACCCTTTCTCAAAAATACCCCCCCCCCAAAAGAAAAGTTAAAAATTGCTTTATTTTTCTAAATTATTAGTAATGATTGGCCAGGCATGGTGGTACACACCTTTAATCCCAGCACTCTGGGATAGAGGCAGGGGGATCTATGTGAGTTTGAGGCTAGCCTAGTCTACAGGGAGACCCTTTCTCAAAAATACCCCCCCCAAAAGAAAAACAATGATAATTTACCCCAAAGCTTAGATATCCTCAGAGAAATCTTAAAAGCAGAAGTTGCAAACTAGTGAGCCAGAATTTAAGACCTGAATTAGTTACTGCAATTTATTTCCATTTTCATATTTATGAACTAGGTCTATTGTCTAGACCTGAACTCAGCTTTGTCTCTACCCTTACATACAGGCCCATAAACAGTCCTGAATCTGAGCTTTAATACCTAAACAAAAGGGGAAAAAAAAATCACTAATCTTTACACATTAAAAGAAATTTAATGACTGACATGAGAAAATAGATGCACAAAAGCAATGCTTATTGCCAAACTTCTTTTCCAGAAATATTTAGTTTTTAATATTGCATATTATAGTTTAACATGGAAAAAATTGTAAAGGAATTTACTGTTGCATTCAACACAGTCTTAAAACTGTTGTCAATAATCACAGACTTGACCAAAATTCTGATATATAAAAATCTTAACCCACTCTGACCAGATGTTTTGTTGTTGTTGTTGATGTTTGAGAGTCTCCTTATCACCCTGGCTGGCCTAGAACTCTAAATAAGACCAGGCTGGCCTTGATCTCACAGAGATCCTCCTGCCTCTGCTGTGACTAATTCTGAGATTAAAGGCCTGCACCACCACACCTGGCTTCTAAGGTTTCTTTTGTTTGATTACTTGTTTTTAATTTATGGTTTTTGAGACAAGGTCTTTCCATAGCCACAGCTGGCCTGGAACTTGACCAGGCTGACCTCAATCTCGCTGCCTCCTGAGAGCTGGGATTGAAGGCATGCACCACCATGCCCAGGTCTGAAATATTTTGAATCAACTAATTCATACCACAAAACACCTGATCTATACACCCCAGACTATGATGGACACACAGGGGAAATCACCTGGACACCACCTACCTTCTGTAATTGTTCCTGCCCCAGTTGACTCAGTGAGTCCATATCCCTGACCAACAGGACAGCAAAAGCAGATATTCATGAATCGCTGAGTAGTGGCAGAAAGTGGAGCACCACCGCACAACAGGAGGCGAATATTTCCACCTAGCAGGCTTCTAACTTTCCGAAAAACAAAGCTAAAAATATTAACAGAGAATTACAGGATTTAAAAGCAGAATGGGACTTTCCAAATCTTTTAATTTTTCAACTTTGTTATATGAGGTTTTGAAACTAAATTTATGCAATGAAAGTCATACAGAATATTCAGAAGCCACTCTGTAAGCCTTAATTTTTAGTAGTTCAACCAGGCAGAGAGTCTATCATTTCCTCTTTAAGAACTTTTCAAGTAATATTTGAATAAAAATTTGTCAGATTTATTGAGTATAGTAATAGAAATCTCTTATCAGAGAATTTATTGTATTATAAACTCATATGCTACATATTAATACTAAATAATATTACATTTTCATACAATTTATCAAACGCAAAAAAAAAATTTTTGTTTTGGAGACAGGACAGCCCCAGCTGTCCTAAACTCATTATGCAGACCAGGCTGGCCTGATCTCACAGAGATCCATCTACCTGCCTCTGCCTCTCAAGTGCAGGGATTAAAGGCGTGTGCTACCATGTCCAGCAAAAGCAAATTGATTTTTGCTTTAATTTTCTTCATTAGAAATGTATACATTTGTGTACAGCATAGCAACTTACATATCTTCCTAAAAAGAGATAATTAAAAGTAGGAAAAGCTATAGCTATATCTATGTTCCCATAAAACATTTTAAGTCATTTTCATGTTTTAATTTCCAAACTATTTGATAATAAAAGACAAACATTTATGCTAGCAACAAAAAAAAAAAAAAAAAAAAAAAATACAGGCCAGGTGTAAAAATATCCATTTAAAGCTTAAATATAAAAGTTAATCATATTTAGCAGTATGCATATCACTGTTTTGAAAAACAGTAAGCACAATATTGAATATAGCAAAACGGTAATTGAGGAGCTGGAGAGACGGCTCAGCAGTTAAAAACACTGGCTGCTCTTGCAGAGGACCCAGGTTCAAATCCCAGCACCCATGGCACCTAACAACCATCCGTTAACTCCAGTTCCAGGGGATCAGATACCCTCTTCTGACCTCTGTGGGCACTGCATGACACGAGGTTACTAACATGCATGTAGGCGATACATTCATACACATAAAAATAATGAAAATAAAATACTTTAAAGGTAATTGAAATTGAGAGAATCTTCAAATTATTATGTAGGCTGGATTTTTTTTTCCAGTTCCTTTGATTTTTCTAAATGAATGTCTTGCTACATAGCTCAAGATGGCCTGGAACTTGCTACAGAGCCCAGGCTGGCCTTCAATTCCCCTTTTCTTTTGAAGATCTGTTTATTTGTGTTTGTTCATGTGTGCGGCTGTGCACAAGTGGCAGACGAGGGAGTGGGATGCCCGCCTCTATCACTCTTTTGCTAGGTGCCTGGCTCTTTCCATGGGTGCTGGGATCCAAACCCCCATCTTCTCTGCAGCAAACCCTTGGCTATCTCTCCAACTGACCCTGAACTCTGGATCGCCCTCCCTCTATTTCCCAAGTAGTAGAATTACAGGCCCATGCCAACACACCCAGCCAAAAATAAATCTATTTCTTACAATTGTCTCAATTAACTGGGTTGTTAATATGAGCTATAGCATTAAAATCAGGGGAAGGGCCCTACTTACCGGTCACACAATGGAGTACTGTGCCCTTTTGAAATCTGTTCCATTTTGTAATTATAGGCTAGAATAAACAAGTTCCGCTGAAAATTATTCATTTCATTCACTTTGTTCATGACATTTTTGTATATCCGATCCATTATTTCCTAGATGTAGAAATATAAGCTCATTAATTATATAAGCTGATTTCATATAGCAACACACACTTAAATAAATAAAAAACAGATAAATTTCTCAGGGCATGGTGGTGCACGCTCTTAAGCAGCTCCATAGTGTGGTGGACAGCTTTAGTCATCAACTAGACACATAGGGGTTGAGGGAGCCTCAGTTGGGGAACTGCCTCCATTTGACTGGCCTGTGGCCATGTCTGTGGGGTATTTTCTTATTGTTGAGTGATGTGGGAGGGCCTGGCCCACAGTGCATGGTGCCACCCCTGGGCAGGTGGTCCTGTATTGTATAAGAAAGCAATTTGAGCATGGGCCAGAGGAGCAAGCCAGTAAGCAGTGTTCCTCCATGGCCTGTGCTTCAGCTCCTGGTTCCAGGTTCCTGCCAAGTTCCTACCTTGGGCTCCCTCCGTGATGAACTGTGACCCAGGAGATGAAAGCCAAATAATGCCTTTCCTCCCCAAGTTGGTATTGGTCAAAAGTGTTTTGTCACAGCAACTGAAAGCAAACTGGAACACCGTGTCTCAAAAAATAATGATATTATCACTTGTGTATGATGTTGGGGACTGTTAAGGGGGACATGCATGTACCACAGCAGTAGTAGTACAAAGATCAGAAGAAAAGGTTGTGGGCTTGTTTCTCTCCTTCCACTTCTACATTGGTTTTGGGGACTTAAGTTACCAGGCTGGTGTGGCATGCGACGTTACTGGCTGAGTCATCTCACCAGCACAAAACTAAGTCATTTTAAACATATATTCTAGCAAGACCAAAATCTTTAAGCAGATCACAATTAGTACAAAAATGACATCACAGACAGGTATGGTGGCAGACTGAGGCAAGACTATCATGAGTTTGATGGCCTGGGCTACAGTCAAACCCTATCTCAAATAAATGAACAGAAATCATTTTAAGAACAAATACAAAGAGAAAGGCAAAAGAGAACTGTCTGGGCTTACATCATGGGTGTGCTGACTCATTTTAATTATTGTTAACTAAAAACTAAACTCACCTAGTAAATCAACTATTTGAGATTTTTTTTTCTCATTTACTATTACATTTATTTCTTTTGGGTATGTGTGTTGGGCACATGTGCCACAGTATACATATGGAGGTCAGAGGACAACTTACAGCAGAGGTTTGGTTCTGGGCAAGTGCCTTTACCTGTTGAGTTGTCTTGCTGCCTGTTTTTCAAAAATCCCTGGCTTGACCTTATTGAAATGTACTACATATTCTGCTAACCAAAAGACCACGCATTGTGGGGAGGGTGGTTTGAGAGACGGTCTCATTCTGCAGCCAAGACTGGCCTCAAACTTTCTGCAATCCTCCTGCCTCAGCCTCCTCAGTGCTAAGATTACAGGTGGAAGCCACCACAGCTAGTGTTTGGTTGTCTTAATACTACACCCAGAAAATTATCCTTGTCAGCACTACATTTTAAATAACTATCCCTGGACGTGAACTAAAAATTTAAAGTAGGACACTACTAGGAAAACCATAATTTTACTTAAATTCCAGCATGACTGCCTATTGACATTTGGCTTTGGAATGACTTGTCACCATGCTTGATGTGAGCATTCACATATCTGACAATGTTTCATAGAGCTACAGAAAGCCTGCATGCGGGAAGGCAAACCACGGCTGCTCTGTTTCTCCTCTCTGATCCCCAGGCCTGCTCCACTCTGGTGCAAGGGCAGGGGGTCTCTCAGGGAGTTCCAAGTCACAAAGCCTTCCCCATCACGTTTTTGGTGGGTAGGTAGATTCTTTCAGGGGACTCAGGCCGTAATTACACCATGCGTATAGAAGGCACTGACCTCAAACCTTCCCTCCTATCTCATTCTGAGCTTCAGGTTTCTGATCACAAAACGGAAATACCATGAAGCTACACAGAAAAAGGAGTTGGTAAAACACAGAAGCTGAAATCAAGAAGAGAGCTTAGTAAATAAAATAAAAAGCAATAACTGATGATCACCAATATGGAGCAAATGCTATACACCACCTTGTCACCTGTTGCTGGTGACACTCCTTTACTGCTCAACATTAAGTAATGGTCAGTTCTTACCGGAACAGCTGCCATCAGTGTTGGCTTCAGCATGGATGTATCTCCTTGGCTTCCTTTTTTTATTTTTGAAGACTATAAAAGAGAAAAAAATCCATATAGGCTGATCTTTAATTTTAAAACTTAAATCTTATCTCAAGAGAGTAAGATAAACTTATCCTTTTAACATTCATATTCTAAAAATCACAAGGCAAACACTTACTCTAAAATAATTAAAATGCTGTTAAACTGACCTGTAAAAATAACTACTTTTTATTATTTCCGGTCACAGCTATCTAATTTACCTGATCTGCTAATGTCTGTGGTGAAGAGTAGCCAATCCGGCATCCATGAGAAAGACACACAAGCTCTGCACTTAGTTCTAGAACATGGGCCAGGGGCAAGTACCCAATGTATACATCTTCCTCTCTGAAAGAAATAATAGCAGAAACAAAGGTCTTGGGAACTCTCTGCCAAAAGTTACTATGGCAAGCTCAAAGACAAGAGCGATCCTTCAGCACCAATCGAGGCTCTCTGCTAATGGGGTAGAGACAGAAAAAAGAACCGCAGCTCAGCCTAAAGCTGAGGAGGCAGGCACTGCGGGAAAGGGCCTGCTTCCTGTCCTAGCTGAAGGCACTCACGAAAAGGTGTTACAGAAGCAAAGTGCTAAGGCAGAAAGAAAGGTGAGACAGTGGAACCAAAAGAGCCCAACTGGAACCTACAAGCATAAAACAGGTATCTGTTCTGGGAGTTGGATTCAATTATAAGTTGTAAATGATACCTTAACACATGAGAAAATATCTATGCACAAGTTTGTATATTTTCTATACACGCGTATTTTTCTAGAAATGCCCCTGCACCTAAACCAAGGCGAGGGCACAGGGACAGCGCTGCTCTTAGTTTTCCCACTGCACGCACACGCTAATAGAAATGCCTCTATTCCCAAACTCAAGATGTTGTTAAGTGTACCTACAATTGTTTTCTGTGTACAAAGGTATCAAAAATAGTCACCCCCTGTACCAAACCATTCACCTCTGAGAATACTTTCTTGTCAGCTCTTCAAGTCAACACATTCTAACGACAGATAGACATGCTCGATTGCTCTGCCATTTCACCAGGACGTACCCCAGTTTCGGAATCCTTCTCGCCATCCCAGTTATACCAGCAATGATGTTGCTGTGGGAGATCATGACTCCCTTGGGAATCCCTGTGGATCCACTTGTGTACATGATCACCGCAATGTCTGAAGGCAGCGGTTTGCTCTGAGCTTTGTTTTCTGTATTGAAGAAAAACACATACACTTCTAAGACACTCGGCTTTATAATCAATTTTCTTCTTGGTCGGTTATTTGTTAATAAAGCCAAAACACTCCAACAGTGGTCAACACATTAGGAGACAAAAATCTCTTGGGACTTGTCCAAAATATTCTAAGCACTATGAAGAAAAACAAGATAGGTGAGAAGAACAAATGCTGCTCAGACACAGAACTCACAGAAAAACTGCAGAGTAAGTCTAGCAAAGGCCCAAATTAAGTGGAGAAAGGAGCTGGAAAAAGCCAGGAACTGGGAAGCCGGCAACCAGTGGGTGTGGTAGCACATGGCTTACAACACTCAGTGGGCTGAGGCAAGAAATTGGGAGCTGAAAGCTAGCCTCAGCTACAAAGTTCCACACTAGCTTGGGTACATAGTATGACCCTGTCTCAACAAAAAAAAAAACCCACAAAATAAAAAAAGTAAATAAATAAGAGTAAAAGTCTTGAGGTAGGAATGTGCTTGGCATATATACAAAGGCCATCAAGGAATACAGTACGGATGGAGTGAGCCAGGGAAAGGCTAACAGGAAGTAATAGTGACAACAACCAAGACCACAGGCAGGGCCTCAGAGGCCATGCTAGGGAGTCTCCACTCTAGGATGGAAAGCAGTGCTGTTCTGAACAGAGGCATGCCATCACCTGTGGCAAAGAAGTCTGTCAGCTACATAACATTAGCTGCTAGGTGATCACCTAATATTACAAACAGAAGAAACAGGGGTTGGGGATTTAGCTTAGTGGTAGAGCACTTGCCTAGCTAGCACAAGGCCCTGGGTTCAGTCCTCAGCTCCAGAGGAAAAAAAAAAAAAAGGAAAAGACAGAAGAAACAAATTCAGAAGCCAAAAATCTACTCTAATAACTTGAGATAAAAGGGGCTTTAACTAAGGGACCTAGAAACTTGCTAACAAATGTTCTCTGCTTCACAAAATGACTCTTCTAATAGTTACCACCCTAGTGTCACCTATTTGCAGTCAAAAGACTGCAAGCCCAAGGAGAGCAGCCAATACACGACACAGAAGGCACAGAAGAAAAAGGCTGCCACTGGCATCATCCACCTGCCTGCATTCATCTTCAAACTAATGTGCATGTGGATTCTGAGGAAAATTTCAAATATAAATATTTAAATCTTTAAATATGATCCTTTTGCCGGGTGTGGTGGCACAAGCCTGTAGTCTCAGCACTTGGGAGGCAGAGGCAGGTAGATCTGTGAGTTCAAGGCCAGCCTGGTCTACATAGTGAGTTCCAGGCCAACTGGGGCTATAGGAAGACCCTGTTCCAAAAGCCCAAAATAAATAAATAAATAAATACATACATACATACATACATATATATATGGTTCTTTTTCTCCTACCCTTCCAAACAGATTTCTTGAAAATGAACCACACAATGCATACTTTCCTCTCCTCTAAGTAGACCTCAGAGGCCTTTGGGGCCACCATTCTCTGAGTGGGCCACTCACTCAGCTCTAATGAAAACCCAGCTCTGTCTTCCAAATCTCTTCACTACAAACCTAGCTGCAAATGCCACTTGGCCGATCAGACACCTACATTTGAATGTCCCACCAACACCTAAAATTCAACACGCTCAGAATTACTGTCATCCAAGGTATACCAGCAATGTCAGCACAGGCTTGTCCCTAAGTAGAATCACCAAACTTCCAACTACATAGGAAATGCAACTGCAGCATCCCAATGGCTTTTGCAGTATCTTCAAATACCTAAGTATGTCACCATCTTCTGGTGCTTATGACAGTAATAACTCCCTTGGTGTTTCCACTGGAAGATAAGAACTCTCCTCTGGAAAGGCCACAAAATGGAGGGAGCAAAAGGAGCCTCCTGGCTTAGCGATCCAGCTGCTGACACAGAAACTCTCATGGGTAAATCTAATGGCATTAGATTAGCTTTAAAAGCTAACTGTAAGCCAGATATTGTGGCGTATACCTTTAGTTCTGGCATTCAGAGGCAGAGTCAAGAGGGATCTTTGGGAATTGGAGGCCAATTTGGACTTTATTGTGAGCTCCAGGACAGCCAGCATATTGACCCTATCTAAAAAAAAAAAAAAAACAAATTAACCTTAACCTATCCAAAACTACCAGAAAAAGGAAACAGAAAACTGAATGATGTGAAAGTATTTAGACTAAACAGTATTTAAGCAGTATTATTTATTCTACTCTTCTTTATGAGAGAGGATCTCAAATAGTCCAATCTGGACTTGAGCTAGCTATATATAGCAAGAATGACCTTCCACTTTTTCTTCTTCTTTGAACTTTATGAGACAGGGTCTCCCTATAGCCCCAGCTGACCTCAAACTCTATGTATGTAGACCAGGCTGGCCTCGAACTTACAGATCTCTGAGTACTGGGATTAAAGGCATGTGCCACTATGCCTGGCTATCTTCAACTTTTTAAAATTTTTAATATTTTTAAAGATTTATTTTTAATGATGTGGATATGGGTGTATCTGCGTATACACACATAAGTACAGATGTCCAAGGACGCCAGACATATCAGATCTCCAAGGAACTGGAGTGTTTAGCAAGCAATTGCAAGCCTCCTGGTGTAGCCTAACTGGGAATTAAACTCGGGTACTTTGGAAGAAAAGTATGTGCTTTTAATCTCTAAGCCATCTCTCTAGCCCCAGTCTTCAATTTTTAACCCTCTAGCCTCAACCTCCCAACCCTGGTGGTGGGGGTAAGAAGGTATGTGCCGCCACATCCCATTTTATGCGTTCCTGGGGGTCAAATCCAGGGTTTAGTGCCTGCTAGGCAAACACTTTATCAACTGAGCTACATCCCCAGTCCATACTTTAAAAATATTAATAAATTGGGGCTGGAGAGATGGCTCAGTGGTTAAGAACACTGGTTGTTCTTGCAGAAGACCCAGGTTCGGACCCCACCACCCACATAGCAGCTAACAACTGTCCATAACTCCAGTCCCAGGGGATCCAACAGCCTCTTCTGTCCTCCGCGGGCATTGTACGTCACGGGTGCACTTACCTACATGCACGCAATTCACGCACACACATAAAAAATAAATAAGCAAATACATAAATAAAATTAAAAGTATTAATAAATTAATGCCGGTATTTTCCTTAGGTCTTTTTAGATGAAAATGTTCATAAAACCCACTTCCCCAGCTGACAAGTGTAGAAAACTGATGTGCCTTTTGATCCAACACTAGGGTCAAACCTGTGGGTAATTACAGAGAACATGGTCACAGGAGAGTTCATGTATGGAGAGAAACACATGACATACCCATGTTTGCCGTCAGTCCTAGAGCCTGCACTGCAGCCATCGTGTGTACAATGACGCCCCTGGGGAACTCAGACCAGGTTGTAGGCTTTCCATCAACAGTAATGATATGCCGCAAACGAGGGACCAAAGAGACTATATCCTGGGGAAACACAAACATTCATCACGTTTCTGTTAATCAAACAGCTCAGCAAATAGTTCAGGCATAAGAATGAGTTCACTACAGTCAATGACCTATTGACTTCTCCGTCTAAACCAGAAAGAGGTAGGGAGGGCTACGGAGCTGGCTCAATAGGTAAAATGGTTTGCAAGTGGGAGGCTGGGGGACCTGAGTTTGAGTCCCACAACTCTCATTTAAAAAGTAGGGTGTGGGGACTGGAGAGATGGCTCAGCAGTTAAGAACTCCTACTGCTCTTTTGGGAAACCCAAATTCAGTTCCCAGCACCCATATTTGGGTGTTGGGAACACAACCACCTGAAATTCCAGCTCCAATGGATCCAATACCTTGACAGAAACATACACACACATATATAATTAAAAATAAAAAACAAATCTTTAAAAGTCAGGTGTGGTGGTGCCTGCCTGTAATCCCATGGCCTTTACATGCATGTACACGAACATGCACAAGTACCCAAACAGACACACAAAAACAAGAAGGGGTACATGCCTGTAATCTTAGCACGTGGAGGTACAGTAGGAAGACCAAGAATTCAAAGTCACCCTAGGCTACATAGTAAGACTGAGGTCAACCTAGGCCACATGAGATCCTGTCTCAAAAATAAAAAGAGGGAAGGATGAACTATTCAGCAGCATTAGATTAGCACTATGTGCACCTAGTTATTTGAAAAAATCCTAATCAGCAAAGTTACTGCTTCATAAAAAGGATACGTGAACAAAGAATACACAAACTACATGCAAGCTAAAGTTCCTGAAGTTTTCAAGAGGATGATAGTTGAGAGTATGTGACAGAAGGGAAGAAAATTCATTTGCAAACCTATTTAAAAATAAAAATAAGAGTATCCGTATTGCGATTTTCAGAAGTTGCTAAGAACTTAAAAAGAATCTTTTTTCTAACCTTCAAAGAAATCATCATTCAGTGATTCATAAATGAATTACTACTTTAAAATATGGCCGTTCAGAAGCCAGCAAGACCACTCAGGAGGTAAAGACACTAGCCACCAAGCCTGATAACTTGAGTTTAAGTCTCAGGATCCCCAGGGTAGAGGGCAAGAGGTGACGCCTATAGGTTATCCACTGACCTCAACATGTTACGGCAGCATGTGCACATGCACACACACAAGTAAATGTAATAAAACTTTTTAAATATTTCATTTATTTATTTTATGTGTATGAGTGTATTGCCTGAATGTGTGTGAGTGCATCTGTGTCATACAATGCCCAAGGAGGTCAGAAGAGGGCTTCAGATCCCCTGGAACTGTAATTATGGACAGCTGTTAGCTGCCATGTGAGTGCTGGGAATTGAGCCTGGGTCCTCTGCAATAGCAGTCAGTGCTCTTACCTGCTGAGCCAGTTAATAAATTTTTAACAATTTTTTTTTAATTTTTTTTTTATGTGTATACATGTATTGCCTGCCTACAGGTAAGTGCACCCATGTCGTGCAAAGCCCATGGAGGTCAGAAGAGGTTGTCGGACCCCCTAGAACTAGAATTACAATAATGAGGTAGGTCTCTTACCTGCTGAGCCAGTTAATAAATTTTTAACAATTTTTTTTTAATTTTTTTTTTATGTGTATACATGTATTGCCTGCCTACAGGTAAGTGCACCCATGTCGTGCAAAGCCCATGGAGGTCAGAAGAGGTTGTC